ATAACTAGTTATAATGTAGAAGTACAAAAAATGAGGCCCTCAGGCGGACTAATTTGATGTTTCATTTGTTCATTTGAGAAATTGTTAAGCTTTCTCCTCTTGCTCCCCCCCTCTACTGCAAAATAACACTCGTACAAGCGTGTTCACACATGTACGTATGTAAACAAAATAAATCTGCGCGAAACTATGTGGAGGTTGTGTCTATGCATGGCGTGTTTTTAATTTGGTGGCCGGCAGCACCTGACCTGGATGCAGACAGTGGTGCAGCAATATTCCGCTCCCTCCTGAAAACGGTTACGATGCGCTTTTAATCAAACCCTTAACCTAATAGCCTTTGCACGTTTACTCTCCCCAGGTGTAATAACGTTAAGCCGGATCGTCCAGTTAAAATAAAAAGTTTTTAATGAAGTGCAGACAGACTGGAGACTAGTTGGATATGAATACCCTCTAACAGCAGCAGCCAGGGGAGCAGAGGTGGTGTTAGATACTGGATGCCCCACAGAAACCATTGGTTGGTTTTGCAGTTCATTATGGCAGTGTTGTGCTTCATTAGACTCACACTGCAGTGTTAAATCCAGCTCACCTGTGCAACAAGAGCGCAACTTTTCTGGCTATTAACTAGGCCCAAGTAGTTTGCAGGAGGACAGTAATTCGAGCTTAAGTGGTAGTTTTCTGTTTAAGCACCCTGATACTGGAGATTGAAAAAAAATAGAAACGTTAGCAGGCTGCAGAGTTGAGCAGTTAAACCGCAGTCCTGCTATGAGCACAGGTTCGTTAAGAGTGCAAGCATCAGTACTGTGGTGTCACTGGAGCCAGCTGTTTGCCTACAGCTAAATAACAAGCTCCACGAAGTGTCACATCTCTTGACTAAAGCCAGGTGGAAAGGCGTGGGGCGATGGATAACACTTACTGATAACTCCACGGTCCCAGTCACTTTGACCCGATGAACTGTCTGGAAAAAAGAAAGAAAACGAAAATTAGATCAAGAAGAGTTTCCTTTAAATAAAAACAAATTTGCATCCAAGCTGGAAAATTAAAATTCCTAACAATAAAGCCCAAATTGTACTCTTTGTTGGATTAATATTTACGCGTAAAACAGATATATTATTTCAATAAATTACCCACTAACCATCCCTTAAATTAATTGTGCAAGTATTTGTAAAGTCAAACAAATCAGGCGTGCAACTCTAAAATGAATGAGTGCATTGTGTGCACCATATTTCGTTTTTGCTCAATTTAAAATTGCCAACCCACCGTACAAATAATACTCAGAAATAAAAAATGAATCAAATGAAATTATGAGCAACAAATGATAGAAAATAATCGAAAAGCCACGCGAATTTATTTCAGCCAAAACATTTTTTTCCTCCCCTTACAGGTTTCCTACAGTTAATCTCTCAGCGTTCAAACACAGAAACGAAGCGTTTTGATATGTTGCGTTATTATTTCATCTTAATGATCCTTCAGTTTGTCCCACTGCGTCTGATCTCCTCTGTTATCTAGCCCTAATTGAAGGGAGGCATGCCCTAGAAAAAGCTTTGACATGTGTGGGCTCCTGCAGAACTGGGACCGAGGACAGAAAAATTTAGGACGGGTCATTTTCAGACAGTAAAAGTAAATTTACAAGCATTTTGGTATTTCCTTGGGCAAATGTGCTATGAATAGAAATCCCTGGACTTCAGCGCGCCTGAATTATGGCGAACAGTCAATAAAAAAAATCACGACTTTGTCTTCACATTGTAAATAAATTCTGGCTGTACTCGAGAACGATGTAATGGGACTTTATGGTTCTTATTTGGGCTGCAGACAAAGGGAAGTCTGTGCTCACCCGGAAATGACCTCCGTGGATTGAATGATGACACTGTCAGCTCCACAGGTCAGAGAAAGGGACAGGACATGGCAGTGAAAACGGATGTTTGGACTGTTTCACTTTTACTGGAGTGATATCAGATTGTTCGGAGCTGGAGTTGCTGATTTTTAACAACAGGCTTGTTTCAAACTTCCTCTCAGGATGCAATCACTGCAAAATTTGAGGAATAAAATAATTTCGTTCATAATAAAAGTCCTGCAACCTGTGTGAAGATGCCACATCACACATCGAATTTGTTTCTAATTTATTGGGGTGGAGAAAATATTTTATGTGTTGTTTTTGGAGGGAAATAATTCATTTTTTATTTTAGTTTGGGAGGCTATGGGGATAATTTTACTCCTCTGATAACAGCAAATATGACATTACAACTGCTCCAAAAATAGGGAGAAATAGAATAAAATCATGGCATGAAAAGAGCACTGATCGATGCCCTTACGTGGACACGTTGCCCCCACAGTGTGTCACCCACCCAGGAGCGTGTTACACAGTGCCCCCTATTGGAAGTGTATAATTGACCACCCTGCATACCTGAAAACAAACCCTGCACACACTGAGAAAGTGATCCTGATTCTTTAAAGTTAAAAACACCACAGCAAAGACTGTGTCGTCATCGTGTCACATACATGAAGGTGCACAGATTTTATAACATGTGAACCTGAAGCGTGGGAACTCCTAATTTAGATGAGAGTTAAATCACGTTTATCTATCAGAACTGAATTCCTGCATCAGCCTGTGATGCTGCATCATGCACACCCCTGTTGCATCTTGCTCTGTCAGCTGAGCTGCATTCATCCACACAAGCCTTGATATCAAAATGAGCCATTTGCACTTCCACACATTGATTAAGAAAGGACCCTTATTTCCAGGCTGAGCTGCTTCCTAAGACATATAGCCAATTAAATGATGTGTCCTATAGAGCAACAGAAAATTATCGAGCTTATAAGATCACATCGCCTCATCAGTCTCCAAACTTATCAATGCAGTAATATCTGCCCCTGCAGTGAGGGCACACAAAAAACAAATATTCCTCTACTGTGCCAAAAAGGTGCATTTTTTAATAAACCATGCAACAGTCACACACTCACAGTTTTCCACAGGCTTTAAAGTTGGATGCCATAATTACACTGCAAAGTGCCTTTGAATCAAATCTGTCTCTTGGCCCAGACATGACCCTAAAAACAACAGGAGCTCAGGAGGACAAACACTAACCTCATGTCAAGGTGACACGGTGAGATGAAGCATTTTAATCATCAGGTTTTGTGTTTTATAGCTTTAATGGTGCAGTATTTCAACTAAGACAACAGTTCAGCATCACAGAGAACTAAAGTCACATTTTGCTCTGAACACATTGTTTCAGTTACAGAAGCTGCAGCTCTGAACCAAACTATGAGACTCTATGAAATAAACAGGCATACAGGTACAAGAGAGAGGGTCAGTGTGTGTACGTTAGAGAGACAGACAGACAGAGAGGGTGGGGTGGGGTGGATGGTGAAGCTGGACGCCAGATGATTTTTGCTAGTTTTGATTTTTCATTTCCCTCACAGTCACCTCTTAAATATTTGTCTATTCCCATACTGACAGGATTAACATGCAAAACAAACTGTTGAATGAAACGGACTGCCTCTGTGTCTCAGATGTGTTGACAGGCATTAAAACATCCGGTTTTTGCTTTTAATTTCCCGAGATTAAAATCTGGTGCTAATATAAATATGATGCTGCGAAAAAAATAATAATAACCCTCATAATAACCCAATAATCATGAGCGTCTTTTGCGTGTAATCCGATTTCTTTCGGGCTAAATATGCAGCACCAAATTCCCTCTAAAACATCTCAAAAACAACATTTTTCCCGATTATTAAAAAACATATTTCTGTGATTGAAAATAAAGCACATTCACTGCCAATTAATAAGGATCATTTTTGAGTTATTGAGTCAAACAAACATGCATTCAAAGTCACGCTAATATAAAACAAGCAATATTTTTTTGCACGGTGAAATAATCGCAGGCCTGCAAAGGCAAAGTTAAAAGCAACTTACTGCAGCAGCTCTCAGTCCTCCGCACCACCCGACTACACTGTCCGGAGAAAGGCACTGCATCCTCACTGCCACAAAGCCCTTTCTTCCTCAGATAAGGGGAAGCCAGCAGCTGCGATTCCGGACAGTTAAGATTATATATGATGTGTATATATCGAAGGTTTGTCAGCTCTTCCAGGCCATAAAACCCACTTAAATGACACCACGTGCTTCCTATGCACCATTCACAGGCCCTCCTTGGGGCAATTGGCATATGTAACCTTGTAAACTTTAAAATACCCTAAAAGAAAGACATTCAAAAAGGGATTCAATACATTGTCCACGTATAGGTTAGGCCTAACAGAGCGCAGAGAAAGTGGACGCTGTGCTGACCGGTTCTCATATAACCGTCAAGGAAGTTGAATAGGAAGATATTAGTTTAAGAGGTGAGTTGATTTTTATTTTCTTTAAGTAGTGCTGTAGAGAAATTACCTCATAACCTTGGGCTATGCTGCGTCATACTACTACTTCTAGCAAAGCTGCTGCTGCTGGTGCTGCTGGTGCTGGACACAGACACCCAGCAAGTGGCATTTATGTCCTCTGTACTGGCAGATAGTGTTGTTTTAACTACAGTGTAATGATGCCAGGATTAAAGGGCAGGGTGATATCATAAAGTTGCCATATGGCCCGCAACAGTGATGGCGCGTCAGTCCTGCGGCCACAGGAAACCAAAGTTTTGCATTCATGTTGTGTTGTGAGCGAGTGTTATCACAGGCTAGCGTGTCCCTTCCTTCCCTGACAAAACAGGAAACGGGAGTCTGTCTGTGGTGGAGTGCTGGAAAAGGGACAATAAAGTTTTATGAGGGCCTTAAACTTCAGAGCGCGTTTGTCAGTCAATGAAATTCTGGGGATTCCGGGCCAGGCTAAAAAAAAAACGTGGTCAGTTGGATAAAACAAAAGAAAAGGAAATAGCTGGGTGTTTTTTTTAAAGCAAAAGTAAAATTTCTGTAGTTGTGAAATTCAGTGTAGCAACAGCACAAAAGTCATTATATACACGCCAGCTGTGTGATTGCGCCACAACATCCAAACAAATAAAGACAGAAATGTGCAAACTGACCATAGGAAAAATCCTTACTTTTAATAATGAGACTTTATTGGTTACAATCGACAATTAGGCCATCTATCAGTTATTGTGTGCCTCGTGTAAACCAAGCACTTTAAGTTTACAGAAGGAGAGAGAAAATGGCTTCATTGCACATCACAATATTATCACATACAGTCGCTGAATTACACATCATGATTCAGATTCACAAGGATATGACAGACAACAGGGGCTGATGCATTCACAGAAACCCACTCACAGAGATATTAGCTCACTGGACACATCACACATTCAACCACTGCAACATATTAGAGAAATTAAAAAGAAAAAGAGGTGGAAAAGTAGTATTTTTTACTGTTGGAAAACTATGTCACTGTTGATTACAGGACAGCTCAGAAATATTCTTTCATTTGATTAGTTGATCTTAAAAGTTTTATCACATGATGCTGACATAGAGTTTGAAATGTTGCGGGCTAGCAGCCAGCCTCCACTACTCTTATCCTAATTAAAAACATAGATTATTAGTAGTAGCATTGTGCAGCCTCTCAGTGCACTGCAGCCTTGCAGCGTGAAGGACCCAGCTCCCCTCAACCTCTTGTCCCCTTCGTGCAGCAAAGTGAGGTTATCATCGCATGGGCAGCAAATTAATTTAGAAATGTAAACCGATTGATCAAAGTGAGTGATATTCAATACATTAGGTCCCAAACTGCAGCAAGTGACACATAATTGGTGATGAAGCACACAGAGCGGTGTCATGATGTCATTGCTCCGAGCAGTTCATCCGGAGGTCAGGCGGCACTCCAGCACTGTGCAGTGAGGGGCTTGAAAAACGTGCTGCATGCACCCCGCTTCTCCGGTGCACTTTTTTTTTTTATTCCTTCACTTTGATCTTTGAGTCCTTCTTCCACTTCATTCGTCTGTTCTGGAACCAGATTTTGATCTGCCTCTCGTTTAGACACAGGGTGTGGGCGATCTCTACACGCCTGCGGCGGCTCAGGTACCGGTTGAAGTGAAACTCTTTCTCCAGCTCCAGAGTCTGGTAGCGGGTGTAACTGGTCCTGGATCGCTTACCCTCCGATTCTGAAGTGGTATTAAAATCGGTTAGCGTCCAGCAGCATTAGAAATAAATAGAATAATAGGCTATTATTACATTTACAAAAAAAAAAGAGAGAGCCATGAGAAAAAAGCATCACAAGCACACATCTGTTAATTTATGTCCCCTCTCACCCTCATTTAAAAGATCAAATATCTTTATTTAACCTGATATTACTTACTGCGGATTTGTGTAATAAAAATTTATGCCAGGCTGATAAGGATGGTTAACTAGATCCAATAAATATGCTCAGTTAAAAGGAAGGAGGGTCCCCTACATTCTCTCGCATTAAAACATGAAATACACAAAGACTATTACTTCAGAAATCTTATCTTATTGTAATATGTAAAGCGGGATAACTAATAATGTGCTGGCCTCCCTGTAAACACTGGCCTCGGCCTCATAGCGCTGCAGAGGGTTAGGGGAGTGTAACAGCGTGGGAGGAAAAACAGATGTGTAAAATCTAAAGAAGTGGGATTAGAAAATGGAAACTGATGTTTTCCAGAGATGTTTTCCTGTTTCTAGCCTCGCTTGTGCACAGGCGTGCTAAGTAAAGCAACAGGCCTTTTGCTGCTGTTGGACTCGCATATTTTCTAACGTCCCTGCTGCATGTGTGTGTGCTCCTGGGTGTTTGCATGTGGAGCAACACAAAACACAAGTAGCTTCCTTTTTTTGCAGCAAATGTGCTCACTGTCCATCTGCAGGCTAAATAGTTCAACGAGTGGTTTCAGGGCATGGAGAAGGAGCACGCCTATTCAAATCTTTTAGAGGTGAAAAGTTCATGATTGGGTCAGGGCATTGGTGTTTCCCAGAGTTCAATTTAAGGCTAAAGCTTCTCCCACACACACACACACACACACACACACACACACACACACACACACACACACACACTCACACACAGTGAGAGAGTCTGATAATGTCAAACATTAACTAAGACTATAAACGAAGCAAGGCAAAAACTAATACTTGGAGCTGAAATTGTGAATATTATTTCATAGTTTTATCACAGTTTTGTTCTCTTATCCAATTATACCATCATAAATCACCCCGCAGATCACCTCTTCACCGTAACAGAGCAGGTTTACGAGCAATGGATGCCTTTGTCATAAAATTTATGACCGCGAGTTTTTATTATTTCCTGCGTTTGGCCTATAAAACTCAAGAGGGAAACTGGAACGGGCGAAAAGAAGTGTTGCAGCGTAAAGAGTGAATAAGGGAAAGCATCTCTAGTCGCACTTTAGGAAAAACAGGCAAACTTTACCGTGGCTCATGTGCAGTTTTGTCATCCATGGGTAAATCTGTGGCTGCTGCTCACTGTCCTGACGCTGGTTCACATTTGTGTGTCGTTTCACGGTTTGCGTGCTCTCCGCGTTTCTCTCGCTCTCCTGGCTCTTGCTGCCGCCGGATTTTGCGCTCCTCTCCGGGTCTCTGTCTGCCCCTCGTCCCAGCAGCGTGCTGCCGCCGTAGTTGAGCCCGCTTGCGCCCACGGACGAGCTACTGGAGACCATGGTTATCTGTGGTCCTGACGGGAGAGGAGTATCCGTATTGCCACGCAGGCTAGTTTTCATCTCCTCCCGTTCAACAGAGGTCGTGGGGACGGGACAAGTGAATATCCCGTTCACATTAACACCCTCATAACGGCTGGACGTGCGCCCAGAAAGATCGAAACTAAACATAGTGTTAGGAGAAGTTGTCTCGCTTGTTTGCCTGAGATTGCAGCTGTCAACATAAGAGCTCATTTTTTTTCTCCAACTACCACCGATACTTTTAAACTAGAGAGGGCTGCGGCATGTATGTTGCGCTTATTTCCTTGTTTTTGTTGATCATTGCTTTTCTTTGTAGCCGCTTTTGGAAAATACAGAGCTGTCTGCCCTAAAAAAATAATCCAGGATTTATAGGTGGAGTAGGCTTTGGTATCTTTTTTTTAATTCTTGATCCGACGTGCGCTGCCCAAATATGGGGTATTTGTATGGGATCACGTGCACATGTTGGCCAGTCATAAATTGGCTTTGATACTCAATGGGGATATTGATGAATAGGAGAAACGTGTCCGGTAAACTTTGAGCTGTTGGTTGTTGAGGACCAGGCAGGGATCTTTAGCGCAAAAAAGGGCAGGACAGTAAGACAAGAGCGTCATCTGGTGTCTGGTATGGAGCAGGACGGTCAGGACCGGCCAGAGCTCTCTGCCCCTGACACAGTGCGAGTCCACCAACACACCCATATCTGAATAATTATAATCATAATAACAATATCAACAATAATGATAATAATAATAACAATAATAACAAGGAGGATTTAAAGTGCGCATTTGGTTGAAATATATTTACGCACATGGACGTGAGAACGTCGCTAAAAGTTGTGTTACAGTAGCCTAATAATGCAGCGACGGGAATGTTATAGTGTCTAACTACATATTGGACAATGGCTCATTCCCGTGCTGCTTTGACACCAATCAGAAAGTTGGATATTTAATGTTTAAGAGGGCAAAATTTGCGTAAAAATCACTATATACTTATTTGTTACCCACTTGCCTTCACGGCCTCTCTTCGCCATAAAGGTCATGATAATATTAAAATGTACAAACAGGCATCCACTGTTAGTTTGGTGCGTATTTTAGGAACTCTTTCTTTATGCGGTCATCTGACTCAGAAAAGTGCAATGCTCCCCAAAAACCACAAGACGAAAGGGTGAAATTTTTACAAATATTTTATTCCATGATACACAATTATGACAAAACATGAATTCGTAACTCCCAAACAAAAGTGAAGAATTACTAGTGTACAAATCTATCTCACAAGGAAAGCCTATTGTGTCAAATGAACAAAATAAAATAAAAAAAGGGGGGCTAAGCGCAATTTTTTATGTAATGCAGCGTCTATCAAAGCGGCTAAATGCACATAAGTCCTCACAGGATTTACATAGGATACTGTTGATTATATACAGGCATTTGTGTTGTGTGTGTTGTGTGTGTCTGTAGTCTATATCCGTGCAAATGTTTATGCAGGACACTTTTTTCTTTCTGTCTGCGGACGATTCAAGTACTGGATTATACAGGGATCAAATAAAGTGTCCACCCGGTCCTTTTCCTTTCCTTCCGTGGAATGTGCATGTACAACATTAAGTAAAGTCTGACCAACACTGTATTTGTGAGGTGATCAAAGAGTTCACAGTGATGGATGGAGTGTGGGGGAGGATAAATACATAGTTTTACTGGCATTGGGAATAAAATCAATACTTCTTTTTATTTTCACAATACAAGTGTGACATTGCAATAGAAAAAAAAATCCAAATGTCACAGGGAGGCCATACTGTGGCTGAAATATTCTGGATTTCTAAGGCTCAACACTCCTGTGGTCAACATGGGATATAAGTGGGAAAGCTGCGGGGTAGCCATCATGCAGTGAAGTCGCTCTCAAGTCCATATATTTTTTTTAGGTAGTTATGTTGGGTTTTTTAATGGTCATCAGGTGTTCTTCTTCTTTTATTTTTTAACTATTCTTTCTTCTTGTCCTCATCCTTCTCGTCTTCCATTGCGCCACTGCGTTCCTCCTCTGTGGAGGCTCCTGTCTGTTCACTTCCAGTCACCGTGGAGGTCAGGTTGCTCTCTTTCTTCCATTTCATGCGTCGGTTCTGAAACCAGATTTTGATCTGCCGCTCTGTTAAACAAAGCGCGTTGGCGATTTCGATGCGTCTGCGCCTGGTCAGGTAGCGGTTGAAATGAAACTCCTTCTCCAGCTCAAGTGTTTGGTAACGAGAGTATATTTGACGTCCCCTGCGTCTGTCTGTCCCGTAGCCCACTCCTGCTGAAATACAAAGTGAAGGCACTGATTTAATCGCTTATAAGGAGAGGTCACATTTGGCATTTAGATTAAAGAAAAAAGCATGCTCCTGTCTGGGCTCTGTGTAACACTTTGAAGCAGTTCAACACAAGTTTTAGCTCATTGTTAGAGACAATTGCAATCTAAATCCGTGTAGAAAAATAAACACATTTTAACTGAAAGACAAATCATATCTCAGAGGGCATCTTTGCTTTATTATCTAAAATAATGAAAGCATCATAATGCATTCTCTCTGTCTCACGCCATTGATTATGGCTACTATATCTTTCTTAATATGAAAGCTGTTTGTTTGCACATGTAAAGGCCCATCTACAAGTCGAGGGGATACAGTAATGTTTTATGGGGCCATAAAAAGTAACTTACTCTCTTGGTAAGACATATCGTAAAACTGGCCCATTTCCTTAATTTATTTGTCGTAGTAAAACTCACCGCTGTGTGAGTTCATTCGCTGCATCCACGGGTAGATCGGGATGTTGCTTTTCTGGTCCTGCGCTGCTGCTCTTCCTTGATCCAAACTGTACTCTTGAGCAATGTGGCTTTGTGTATTGAGTCCCATGTTTGTTTGTCTGCAACTGGGGAGCACGTCCTTGTCTTGAAGAAACACGTTTGATCCATATTCATACTGTGCCCTGCCAGACCCAAAAACGACATTATCTTGAGGAGAGTAGAAAGGTGCATATATCCGATTCTGGGTCACAGCGGCACCGTACGACGAAAAATGTCTGACTGTGTCATAGGTGGTGGAGTTTAGGGGTACGTTAGGCAAAACATCTTGACCACCGGATAAATGGCAGGAGAGCGACGGGTTTGCGAAATAAGAATTCATACCTTGCCTGTAACCCTCTCTCCAACTCTCCCCACTTCTTTATCGGTCTCTTTTCAATCTCCTTCTCAGTAAATCTCCTTCCCGTCTGTGTCAACCAACCACACCTTTCTCCAAGGTCTTCTTTTTTTCCCCTCGACTTTCTGCTTCTCTAACTGGACGTGGGCTACTTTGAGGATTCAATATTATTAATTTCCAATCTCCGGTTAAGACGCACAAACCCGAGTGTTATAGCCGAGGCTTGGCTCGGTGAGAGACAATATGACAACGTCAGCTGACCATTCTCCACCAATTGAGAGGCAGGAGTTGAGGAGAAACTGTAGCTTTTAGCTCAGAGCTTGAACATTAGTGCTAAATGCCGATAAACACAACGTAGAGTTGGAGTGGCACACTATACAGCCTGGCTGCATGGAGCATTTTTGACTTTAAGTTTAAGAATATGTGGTGTTAATGGAGGAAGTATGATGCGTAATGTGGGCAATGTCATTCAGTACAGTGCTCACACTCACAGCAAGGCGGAACCTTTGCATGAAAACACACATGAACTCAACTCCAAATGTGTCTTAAAGAGTGCAACTCAGGAAATCAACTATTAAATCAATTAACTACATTATAAAGCAGCCCCCCTCCCTGTGAGTTCATGTGATTGTTAGTGTGTATGTGTGTGTTTGTGTGTGTGTGTCCAAAACTCAGTTTTAATTTCATAACACCACTGCAGCGATGGGCTACAATATCCAAATGCTCTCATCCCGCAGGACGCGCCGCCTTTGTGTGAAGACTAAAATGAATATTGGCATTTACTGTTTATCTCAGCCATATCGACGAGTTTCCAACATACTGTTAATGTTTCCATTGTGTATGAATTATCTGGCATGTGAGCAATTTCAATGCTTTTGCAGTGAACTGGGGGAGGGTGTAGGTGGTAAGAATGCGTTTATGGTCTCTCTTCTGTGAGGGCAATAAAACAAGTGACGTTCCCCAGCACACCAACAACTATCTCTGCAGCAAAGCCCTGCAACACGAGCAGCATTCTCCCAGGCTCACAAATGAAAGCACTGCACAGCACGTGGAGGCATAAAGTGAAAGGGAAATAGCGTGTGTATAGGTCCGAGCGACTATAAAGAGCTGCGTCTGAGAAGATCATTTCTGCCACCCTCTTTGAAAATCTAATCAGTTATGCGACTGTCCAGCTCACGTCAGACTAAATCCTCCACAGGCCAACTGTGCCCCGGTGCTCACTATGAGCTCAGCTCTCAGGTACAGTCTCTTTAACTCGTAACAATAAACAGTATGCTTGCAATTTTTACGCACAGAAGTTAGAGTTAAAATGCAACGTGTTAAAATGCTTATGCAGATGTTCCAGTCATTTTTTCTTTCCTTGTTCTGATCATACTTCGACATTCCTCTGACACACACAGGGGAAAGGGGAACCGATAATTATCTCAGCAGCAAATGATGGGTTTGGAAATTACTTTAGAGGTGTTCTGCAAAAATCTAGCAAGACTTGAGCGCCTGTCAGGGGCGAAATGTGCTGCCTCTAAATGCGTAAAATTCCACATTAATAATATCAGAAACAACCCAGCTTCACTCACTTTCAGTTTGCTGTGATCAATATAATTAAATTATTTTTGTACATCTGATAAGAGCGCAGCTTTAACACCATTAGATTTTTATTTTTTTAAAAACAAGCGCGTTTTAGACAGCAGGAAATAGAAAGCTCCACACATTCATCTGAAACAATATAATTCACATTATCTTGGCTTTTCGCAACAGGCCATAATAGATAGCAATAAAATAATCAATACAGTTATTGAAAATGTCTGTTCAAACGCAGCAGCCTATTGGTCCACCTCACTGATCCCTTCAATAGGGTGAATACTTGCAGCCTAAACGTGCAACACTGTTTGGTCTGTCGTTTGGAGTCCTGAATAGCCCATAAAAGAGACAAGAACAAAGAGAAGGAAGTAGCTGGTGCAATAAAAGTTTCCCTTCACCTTATTCGTGGCCATATGTGACATCCGCGTCGCACAAATTTGGGGCAAATAAAGCGCAAAAGTTGCAGGCTGTAATGTCCCCCTACTGCTGCCCTGGGATTAGCTCTGTCCTTTTTTACTTTGGTATTAAGTAACGAATCAGTTTGTGATGGCACACATCAAACATGACGCAGGATGAAACTACTGGGATTCAAATTTATATAAATGGATTTTTAACCCACTTTAGAGACAAAGTTATTACATGTTAGAAAAATATAAAAATACAGAAAATATAAAAAGTATATTCAGCACTTTAACCGCACAATAAAATCAGATTTTAAATTCAAACCATAGAGATGAAGCCCAAAATGTGATTAATTTGCTGTTTGGCAGTCAGTGTTATGTTGATTTGTCATGCTCACGGTGTCAGAAACAGCATGTGTGCAAGTCTTTGTTTCATTACAACAATTTCTGTTGTCATCGCCGTGCAGTTGTTATAATTCACTCATTGCAGGACGCTTTTAAAATTAACAGAGCTTCAAAAGCTTTTTTTGATTAAAATAATGTTTAAAATATTTGGGGTTTAAAAAAACCCACAGATTGTGCTGAATTGTTTTTTCGCAGCCTCCACCACCCCCTCCCCAAAAACACGCCGGTCCATAAAGTTTAGGTTGTAAATAAAGGCTGAACACTAAAGCCAATGTGTGGACTGGAGAGGCAGGAATGCAGCGGAGGTTGTGCGCCAGTGTGCAGAATTAGAAAGGTCATTCTTTCCCCCGTGTTTTAGTGTTTTATTGCGGCCCGTGAGGCAAATCACATGCGCGGCTTTTGATGCAGGAAGGAAAGAAGCCGTTTGGTGCACCTTTTCCACGATCTTTAAAAGGATATTACAGCCGGCGATGAACGAAAGAGCTGGGAGGGTCCAAGACTAAAATGATGAATGATGAATTATTAACAATAGTCTGATACTGAGTACTAACCATGAGTATGAATAATTAGCATTAATAATTCATTAATGAATAGTATGTGTTGTTGATTTGTAGTGAGTAGTTATCGACGGTGAATGCGCAATGACGCATACTATAGAAACAGATCATGCGTAACAGCGCTGTTATTATTATTATTATCATTATTATTATACTTGGACTTATTCGTATTATTATTATTTGTATTATTCTTGCATTTGTTGGGGTTGTCTGGTTTGCTCCGGTCATGCTAGATCGCTTTTAAATGTGCGATTTAATTGGTTGAAATGCTGAAGGCCTGAGTGTAACAGCTTCCCCCCTATGCAACACAACAGGGCCCATCCACGTCCATGAAACTATAGCCTCTCTTTTGCATTCTTATACATCAATATCCAGCAGCACCACATCAGTCAGAATTAGTTATACGGGACCTGTAAAATTTCTACATTATCAGCCATGATTAAAAACACAGCGAGGGAGGCAAAGTCTGCTCTGCCCCTGATGCTTTTTCCTCTCCCCCGCTTCTAACCTTACTAATAAGGAGTAATTCACATACTAACAATGTAAAGCCCTCTATAAGCACTTTACCATCGCTGGCTAGCCCAATTAATGTCCGGAAGTGTTCGACTTTATGCTCGTTAAGCACTCAGGAAGCTGTTGCCCAATGAGCGCATGTTGATCCACACATCATAAATTATGACCATTAGTAGGCAAAATTTTTGCCCTGTCGGGATTTGTAAGTGAGATTCTAAATGTGGTGATGCGGACAGATTCATGACTTCATGGAGTTTTATGCGAACCTATCTCTGGTTTTAAAAACACTGCAGGGCCAAACAATAGAGTGTGGTTTTCCCCTCTTATTTTAAACCAAGATTTACCTAACAACCCCAAACGTCATGCATTAAATGGACTCTCTCCCTCCCTTTCCTCTCCTCTCTCCCTCTTTCCCTCTCTCTCTGCAGGCAGTGTTGGGCAGCAGCAGACACGACCCATTGCAACAGCAATGTTTCATAAGGGAAAAGCAAACAACGTGTGTAACAGTAGGTTATAAGACTTTAAAGGCATCCGCGACGAGGCTCTGCCAGTAATTGTGTTTTACAAGATTGAAGCGCGGAGGCTGTTGAGCCTTCAGCAGGGGACAGGAACACGTGAAATCACTTTATGACACTAAAAAATATTTGGTCTCTGCGCAGACAATAATAAAACGCAGAGGGAGCATTGCAGCAGGCTGAGCTTTGATAAAACAAACCGCTTTCAACTTCAAATGCAGACAAGAAAGGACTGCTGTCTGAGTCACACACACACACACACACACACACACACACACACACTGTGGTATTTAAGATGCCATTGGATACTTCACTGCAATGTGTAAACTATACTGTATGGGGGTGCAAGGGCAATTTAATATCCCTTATCCTTTTTATTTATGTTTTTTAAACACACATTTGCTTTGGTTTTAAACACACACTGGGACACACACACACTTGTATTATATTGGTTGTAGCCCCATCTGTGAGGTGTTTCCCATGCTCACAATATTTGCAAATTAATCTGGATTTTTTGTTGTTATGATTTTATTTTTTATTGTCAAAATATTGAAGAAAAATCGAATAAGTGGAGTGTGTTTGATCACAAACACCATAATTCATGTGTGACTTATTACCCGCAGTTCAATCTGTCCCCTCATGTCAGATAAGTGTTGTTATTGTTGGTGATTTTGGTGATAATGAGGATATGTGTGGTGATTTTTTTTTTATATATTTATTTTTTTGCTAATGGTGTGAATAAACTCTCATGCTGTCCATCACAATGTCGTCAGTGATTATGTCACAGCATCCTGTAACAAACCGCTGCATCTCATTACATCAGAACAAAACAATAAAACAAACCAAGTCTCTCATTCTCCGTGGTGACACCAACAAATCAGACTCTCAGGAACACTCCTCGGTGTCAGCTCGTGGCGGTTACTCGCTGGCAGCGGTGTATCAGCTGGGTCAGCTGACATCCGCAGTGAACCGCCGCCGAAAACCAGCAGCCATAAACAACAAGCCTCAACACCCGCCCACTTCCACATGCAACGCTTCTGATCGCTAGGGGGCACTGCCGGGATCTACACCGTGTGTCAGTGTGTATACACACTGTAGTCTATGTGTGTGTGTGTGTGCGTGTGCATGCGCGTGCGCGTTATTGCATATGTTATTCAGGCCCTTGGCACAGACTGAATATAACAAGTGACAACAAGTATGGAAAAAAGAAATAATTAGAGCACGTGAATGAAATTTGTCACTCCCTGGTCAGCAGGGCCTGTGAGTGATGACAAAGTTTACTATCAGTGGGCAATTTATTACAGCACATTGGCACAGCATCTCGAAAATGCCCCGCTAATGTAAGCTAAAGCGGTGAGCACACACACAGCAGGTGCTGCTACACCAGCCAGTCAGATACAATGCCAGTCGCTCAAGGCATCAGCAGCCTCCCAGGCTACAGGTCAGGTCACAGCTCCACAGAACAGACACCTCCACCTTCTCATGATCTCACACACTCTGCATCATTCATCACTTCAGCCCAGCAACCCACCGGCTGATGGCCAAACACAACATGAAAACACTGAGAAAGAGTGATAGAGATATGTGTAATCTTACCCCAGCAGGCTCTCCGTAGTTTGTAGCTTCACTGTGGTCCAGCACAGCAGCTGAGGGGTCACGATGGCGAGTGGGAAATATCAACAGAGCGCACATCTCCCGCGTACTGTCTTCGCATCCCGGCGAGAAGGAGCACACGGAGGCAGGCTGTCTTGTTTGCCGTGAAAAGTCTTTTCTAGCAGGC